GTAAGTGATCCAGTAGAGAGGAGAAGAAATGATGATTCAAGATAACAACCCCTCCAACAAACCCTAACAAGGTATACTTTCTGTGATTCCATTGGGTTAAAGAAATTAGCATTTAGTTGGGGAAGTAGATGCATTGATGTTTTTTCCTTCTTCATATACATGCATGTCAAAAAGCCTGTTACATAGGCATATTTTAAGAAAAATATTTTTAATGGAGCCATAACAGAACCATTGAAAAGTAAGTGGTTAAAATTGTCTTTGCTCCAGGCCCTCACTTCTGCATTCCTCCCATGAAAGATAATGAAAAATCTTGTGGCCCTAAAATTCAGCTAAAACAATTCATGCCCTGGGATTAATGAGTGTGTTACTTCTCCAGTAGTATTTTAATTTACAGAAATATTTAGGATAAAATTATATAAGCAATTACTTCAAAATAATCTCGTTGGGGAAAAGAGATAAACTGGGTAGGGAGAGAGAGAAAAAAAAGTTGGCTCTGAGTTGATAGTTCATTTTAAAGCTGGGTGATGGGTATATGGCAATTCCTTATACCATTATCTCTTCTTCTGCATGTGTTTCAAAATTCCCATAATATAAAGCTAAACATTAGAAGAAACATAGTGTCAATACCATGCTTAATCTAAATAAATCCATTAAATGGTGAAATTTTAGATAATTTGGTAACAGGTAAATATTTGGGGGCACAGGAATTTTTTTGGCTTTTTCTAATCTTATCAGTTATTTTGCTTTTATATACAATACAAACTTATTTTTTACTCAGAAGGTGTCTCAGTTGCTTTAAGATAGAATTAATTTGGATTCCTGTTGCACAAATAATTTGAGACTTGGTTCTCTTAAACAAAGGCTTGGTTCTCTTAAACATCTTCTCACTTTAGGTAACCATAAAAATACTTAAGAACACTTATGTTACAGAATATGTTCTGAGGTAAAGTAATACTACAGTTAAAAAACAATGATAATCTAGTTGGTTATTACTTAAAAGAATAAATAGTTGATTATACACAGAAGGTGAAATCACATAAGGTTCGATTCCTGGTCAGTGCACATGCCCAGGTTGCGGGTTCTGTATGGGAGGCAACAGATTGATGTTTCTCTCATATCTCTCTCTCTCTCCCTCTCCCTCAAATCAATAAAAACATATTTTTAAAAAGTTTCTAACCTTTCAAAAGTAGCAAATGTAGAAACAACAGTGTTGCTACCTTAAGTCTTCAAATAGTAACCACTAGGTATTCTTTAGTGCAAGGGGTCCTCAAACTACGGCCCGCGGGCCACATGCAAATACAAATATTGTATTTGTTTCCGTTTTGTTTTTTTACTTCAAAATAAGATATGTGCAGTGTGCATAGGAATTTGTTCACAGTTTTTTTTTAAACTATAGTCCGGCCCTCCAGTGGTCTGAGGGACAGTGAACTGGGCCCCTGTTTAAAAAGTTTGAGGACCCCTGCTTTAGTGTATTCCAGTTACTCATTAATCACTCTTTAGTGTTATTGTTACAAGAATTGTCAGTAATTTCCACCAGGGAAAACTGAATAACAAAGTCCAATAAATTTCCTAGATCAGAAGAATATTCAGATTTTATTAGTAGCATTCTTCTTACTCGTGATATATTCATTAACAAAAGTTCACTATGTAATTTGGGACCTATACATTCTACTTCAAAAACTAAACCCAAAGGTATGTTGTTGTGCAGCTTATGGTTTCTTTTGTATGGCTCTAATGCCCTCAACGATTCCTTGGTGTAAACTACTGAGCAAGGGAACAAGATTTCCTTTGTAACTGATACCTAAATTTCTATTCTGCTTTAAGCGTCTAATTTGCACTGTGAAGACATATAATTTGAGCCTTGTAGCTATATCACAAAAGTACAACAGTTTATGCTGATCTCTAATTTTCTGAGTTGTGCTGGCTATAATTTAAATTTTTTGCATGTTTTTAACTGCAATGCAAACCAGTATACATGAGAAACCTTTGTATATTGACAGAGGCTGGGAAAAAGATGCCTTGTTCTGATTTCAGATAAGCATTCCCTTTTCACAACAGCAGGTGCAAGGGAGCCCATTCATAATATTTGCTTCAAGTCAGTTATAGTTACTGACTGGAAATGCATTGCTATTACAGGAGAACTTGACTAATCATCACAAGCCCAATGAATAAAAATTATTACTATTATTAACAAATTCTAGAGGCAAGTAGGACTTTTTCCTTCGCCTACAAATTGGGGACATAATATATGCTGTTGACACAATTTTGGTCATTTTACTATTGTGTATCTGTTTACTAAATCTAGAAAAACACTATGTCACTTATTAATACAGGATGGAATTATGCTCAGTGGAAAATTTTCTGTAACAAATGCATGTTCCACTTAAGAGATAATTGATAATGAATGTTATGCTTTCCTTTGCCTTAAGTTTCACTTATTTTTAAATCAACACATAAGGCAAAAAATAACCACAAGATAAAAATTTACTCTAATTGCTCTCATTTCACATAAGTGGGTAAATTCCTTTTGAAACACATATGAGACAACTATATAAGCAACCAATAAGTGAAGCTAGCTGGATGTTTCCATTAGAAACCCTTATTTATAAGGTTATGACTTGACCATTTTAATTAGCTTCAGGCAGAAACTTGGCACACCAGTTCAAAGCATTGGAGAAAATTTTGGTCTACAAAACAATTATAATTCTCCTTCAACAGGAGAGGTCAGAGAAAGGCTCTAATAGAATTTAAGGACTGGATGGCCACACACAGATAAAGTAAATTAAAAAATAAACTGCAGCAATAATCATTGCCTTGGCAAAAATAAGTGTTTTGCTTATGTATAAAACCAGTAAGAACGCATCCTAAATTGATGATTATTACTATTACTTATACTGTGTTTGCTAGTAACCTAGTAATGTCACCTAACATTTGCATATAATTCAAAAATGCCAAAATGCTTTTGCACTTTTAATTCATTCAGGCTGAGCACTGTGACAGAAGAAACTTCTATGCTGCCATCCTTTTCCTTCATGTCCCCAAAAAACAGAAGACTCACTCCTGTTACACCCATTTATCCTCAGCCTTGAATCAGATACAGGCTAGTTATTAGACCCACATGCTAGAAAGATGTGGAGCATCTTTAAGGATGCCTTCAAGGATGGGGCAGAACCCCTAAACTGGCTTCTGTAAATACCACTGTCCACACTTCCAAACGTCCATTCTATTACTGCTTTCCCAACATCCAGGAGCAACACACAGTATCCCCACTTATAATTAGTGATTGATGTCGCTCCAGGGCGTTCATGCTTGACACCTGGCCTCCCTCAGGCCACATGTGATGGGGGATAGTGCCACATACCACCCTTCTGAAGTTCTACAGGCAGATGGAGGAGACTGACACCCGGCCACTTAACTGGCCGGGATGCTGCTCCTCAACCCTTGCAAGACCTTTGAGGAAGAGAAGAAAACAAAACACACACACACACACACACACACACACACAACTTACCACTTTGGCCCAGTCCAAGAACAACTGACAACACCCAGGCCGCCCGGAGGAATGGGGTAGGACCGGGCCGGCAGTTTTGAAGGCAGACAAATGCGGCAGTAAGAAAAGCCAGGGCCGAGCAGCACATAATGCAAAGCAGCCCACACAGCGCCCGCCGCTTGGCTGCTCTCTGGATGCGCGCTCGCGCCTCCCAGGCGCACCTTGGGGCCCGCGGACCAAGTGTCGCTAGGATGTTTCCAGCAGGCCCGGCAGGCGGACCCCGCGACTCGGAAGAAGCGGTGCAGGTACGCTGGCCCAGGCACTGCTCGGCATCTCAGGGCCCCTGCGGCCCTCCCAGCTCGGCGCGGTGGGTCCCCGAAATCTCCGCGAGAAGCACCTCCTCCGACTGCCAAAGGCTCGGGGCAGCAACGCGAGCGGGGCTCCGCAGCCAGCTCTGGGACAAAGAAAAGAGCTTTTGTTTCTCTCCAGCCGACGGGAATTCTGCTGCATAAATCAGCTTAGCGAAGAGCCAAACACAATCAAACCCAAACAAAGCCCGAAGCTGGGGGGAAAAACCAGCCTAATGTACATTCACTGGGTGATGCTGCATCTGTGGGAGGGGACGCCAGAGGGGAAAAAAGTCAATGTCGCATCAATCAGCGAGAGCTTCTTCCACAGGTGGGCAGGGAGGCCAACTCCACTTAGTTGCAGCTTTGCAGGCTCGTTAGTTGACCAGAGGACAAAGTCGAAGTGGCAGCGTCCTTGCTGGCCGGGAGGAAGCTTGGGGCGCCAGCAGCCAGGGGAAGCGGCTCCGGGAGCGCCCTAATAGTCCCCCTCGGCGCTGGCGGACTCAGAGCAAGGCATCGCAGCTCCCGGCTTGGGTAGGAGTGGAGCGCACCGCTGCGGGGGTGCTAAAGCCCGGCCTCGGGGGGCGGGAGCTTCGTGCCCTCGTTCTCTTGGCCTCAGTGTACAGCTCAGATGTCCGGCCGTCCAGAGCCCAGGCTGTTGGCGCGCTCAGGGGTGCACCCCGTGAGGATGAGAGGGAGACCAGTTGGTGGGGGGCGGTGAGGTGTGGCCCTGCCCGGGCCCGCGGGTGCCGGGGGTAGGGGGGTGACTCCCTATGTGCTGATAGTTGGGCGCGCTCAGGGCCCTGAGTTGCTAGGAAACCGCCCCACGCTATGGAGCGCCCGGCCCCGGCAGCGAGAGGCTCGGAGGCAGCTCGCTGCAACAGCAAAAGCTCGGAGTAGCGTGGGCGGGACATTAGTGAGGCATGAAGTCACCGCGGCCCACACTCGCTCTTTGTTTTGCTCACTCCAGCTCTTTCTCTCCCCCTTGACTCTAATGGTTGCCATTCCCATAGTTCACAAGAACTCCTGAAGTGTAGCCGCACAACAGGAATCGCACGCCCTGTTCTTTTCCTTCTCCTCCCCGAATTCCTGCTCCCTAACGCTCGCCTACCGGGTGCAGAGGCTGGCTCAGCGCAAGCGGCAGCTGCGCGCAAACCCCAGCCTCTCGCCCCGGGCTCTGCGCACTCCTTTGTTTGGAGATACTCAGTGCTCTGCAGCTGCCGCCTGCAGAGCGGAGTCCCGGAGCCTCACCCCACCTCCAACACCCTCTGTTCTGGGAGCGCTCGCTGCCTACTTTGCTTGCAGTCAGGAGCTCATCCTTTGCCCCACCCCAAGACTGTCCCGCGTCTCCCCAACACTTGGAGAGGTGATCCGTCCAACCAGATTAAGGTGAAATATGCCGGAGTTTCCAGTCTGCAGGAGCTGCACTAGCAGCTGCTGGCTGAAATTTCTCGTGGCTCCTCCACTCGGAGCATCAACCCTGGGCTGGGCAGCCCTGCTCTTTACAGGGTCTGGTGGTGGCTCTGGGCATTTGCTAGTTTACCTTGGGTCTTTTGACCTAAAAGTCAACTTCCCAATAAACAGAACAAAGAAGTTACAAAGGCCGGCGAAACAGGGGAGAGAAGCAGCGAGGGAGGGAGGTGGGATGGCATTTCTGCTGCTTGCAGATCAGAAATTTAGGGCCTGCAGGGAGGGGTGTTTTGCTGGGCAACTGTGGGGGAAGCCATGCGCCTCCTTGGGTCCTGTCACTAACAGGCTAGGCCGAGGGAGAAAACGCAGTCCTCCGGATTGAAAACAAGGCACTGTTTCCAATCAGACCCAGAGTGATGCTTCCCTTTTACCTCTAGGGGCAGGAGTGGTTCGCCCTGGTAAAGTCTGACCTCTTGTTTCCCACTAGCTGCCTGCCAACCTCTTTCAAAGAGCAGCCTCCCCTTACCGGCATCAGACCCCTCCAGCCAGGTCAAGGTGAAATATGCCGGAGTTTCCCTCTTCACTTGCTTAATAGTTTCTGTCTCCATATTTGGAGTAAAAAATAAGTAGGAGGCGTTCTCTCTTTTTTCTTTCTGTTTTCTGTTTGTTAACTGAGTGAATGGAAAGTACCTGATTAATAAACCACAACATTGAAACTCCCCCTTTTCAGGTGTGGACTGCACATTGAAGCCCACAGAATTAGCTAAGCAGACCAGGAACCCAGTTGGAAAATTACAAGTGCCCTGGATCTACAAAGCAGGTTTTTTTTTGTGTGTGTGTTTTTTTTTGAGAGCCCAAATGAATAATTCAAACCTGAAAAACTGGTACTTGTAAGCACAGTTCCACTATAGGCAATGTACTCTAAATATGTACAGTGAAATCCAGCTCAGCTTCATTATTTATTTTCTTTCCTTAGTTCCAACTTGGAACAACTCTAGTTTTGCTTTTCGTGGTCTTAAAGGAAAGGCCTGAGAAGTGGCTGGATGGGGAAGAGGACTTGAAATTTGAACACAAAATGAACATATTCAAACTCTAATTAGTACTCTTCAGTGGGGTAGCATGTATATTTTCCAGAGATTATTTCACAGTCCAAAGGAATGCAGCCACCCTTGAGACAGTGCAGTGCTATAATAAAGAAAAAAAGCCATAATCCCTATAAGGGTGTATGTGATGTGCATTCTATATTGTAAAGAAAGACTTCCACATTTTGTTTTATGAAGCCCAGGCAAATATATGTCGGGATGCCACTTTTATGGAGTTGTTGGAGAAAAAGCACAGCATCATTTATTACCACTTCCCAGTTTCAAAAAGGTTATAATCCGGTTATCAAAATAAAATAAAACAGAATATCCCAGTTGTGAGGCTGTGATCCTTGTAAGTTATTTACAAACAAGTTATCTGTAAATTTTGGGCTATAACGTTAAAAGTGAATTCTCTCGAGTTCTGCAAATAATCTGTAGAGTTTTCTTACAGTAAATATAACTAGTGGCCTAGAACAAAAAGTTTCCTTGTTTTTAATAAATGCCACCGGTCACCACAATTCATTCTTTTTCCTGTAAGAAAATGTACAGAATATTGTGAAGAAATGTGATATTATCTTCCTCATATTACCTGAAAAATTCTAACAGAGAGAAAAATGTTCCAGATTAATTCCTGTCTTTATGTTGTTCTGCTGTCTTGCTTTGAAATTTCTGACAGCTAATTTTTCATCATTTGTGATAATGAGAGCAAATGAAATTCACAGATAGTGTAAAAGTAGTAACATTTTAGCTATTCATTCCAGCCTTCCTATCATCAGATTCTTTTAGTTGTTAATAAGTCATAAAATTAGATGAATTAAGTTTCTTTCCTACTACTTTAACCTTGATTTCTCACTAACTCAGTTTATGGTGAGAATGAATAAGCTATAGAGGAATCACAGGAATGAGAGAAACAGCTGGGAGACTGCCCTTTTCCTGTGTATTCAGCCTTTTAAGTAGATTTTGTCCAAATTATTGACCTCATAGTTACAGCTAAAACCATATCCACATTTTAATATTACAGATGCTCCTCAATTTATGATAAGGGTATGTCCTGATAAAACCATCGTAAGTTGAAAATACCATGTCAAAAATGCATTTCATACACCTAACCTACTGAATATCATAGTTCAGCCTAGTCTATTTTAAGCATGCTCAGAACACTAACATTAGCCAGTTGGGCAAAATCACCTAACACAATGAATACACTGTGGAGTATCATTTGTTTACCCTTGTGATGGTGTGGCTGAGTTCAAGCTATGGCTGGCTGCCACTGTCCAGCATCATAAGAGAGTATCATACTGTGCATATCACTAGCCAAGGAAAGATTAAAATTCAAAATTTGGAGTATGGTTTCTATTGAATTCATGTTGCTCTCACAAAGTTGTAAAATAAAAAAAAATTGTAAGTTGCTTCATCGTAAGTTGGGATCATCTGTATCAGAAATTGGTATCAGAGATATTTAATAGGTTTAACAGATATTCACAAGTTGTCTATAAGCTTGTTTCATCCATAGCTCTTAGGAGATGATGAAACAGCCCAGCCTTTGAGATGTGTTATTGTGACTATGACTTCAAGCTTCTTCCAATGATAAGGAATATAAGCCAGTAAAAGTTACTTTTCACTGAAATATTACGTAAATTACTGTTCTTCATACTGTGGACTGAACACTGCCTCCAACATAACTATCTATAGAGTGATTCCTTAGTTCTATTTCAGGAGTTTCTGGCTTTGTAGATCTGGTGTGCATTATTATGACTTTCTAAAATGGTTCTTTATGCGCTGAGGTTTAAGAACCTCTCCCATAATGGATTAATACAGAGATTCCTGAAAGGCCCCCTGTGTGATTATGGACAAACATCAGTATCAGGTGCAAAGTCAAAGAAAAATGAATTGCTGGAGCCAGTTCTCTTCCCAGGTTATTCTGTGGATGATTAACTCTGAGATATTAGTGTTTTAGGCTATAAAACTTACATAATTAAGTTCGGGAAGTGCTGGGTTAAAGATAAGTGAAATCATTTACTGGAGGATTTTTCCAGAAACTTAAACAGGCCGGAATGCAATTGGATTCTTCAAAGGAAGAACCCTTTATTCGGGGAACATTTCACAGGCTAGTTTTCTATAAAGTACAGTGGTGGGACTTAATCCTACTTTACAAATGTGGAAACTAAAAACCAAGTTGGTGAGGAGACTGACCTCACTTCAGGAGAATTACTGAGCAGCAGGAATCAGAGCTCTGATTTCTTCTCTATCATCTCATATCAATGATGACTTTTGGTTTCAAGTAACAGAGTCAGACTGCGTCTGCCATAAGTAAATAGCAGTATTGGCCATAAGTAAAAAAGGAAATTATTGGAAGAAAATTGGGAATTTCTAGAATCAGCAGGAGGCTGAGTGACCAGGATTGAAAAGGCCAGAAACCAAGGGAGGAGGTATAAGCAATAGCAGTATTGGCCAGGTAGCGATAATGCTTTCTAATCATCCCTTCATTTTTGGACAGCTGGTTCCAAGTTTCACAATCCTGGTTGGGAATGTCTAATTTTCAGAACCTTGGTCACTTACCAGTCCCTTGGCTTACTAGGGGTGGAGTGTGAAGAAGAGGAGCTCTTCTCTTTGGCTTTCTCAGTGGAAAATCTGTTTCCCAATAACATGACATAAAATTGTCTTAGGTTAATGAAGGGAGCCTTGCAAAGTGACAAACACTCATTACTCACATATCCCAATTTCCACATGCTACAGCTTTTCATTACGGTTGGATTTTGGGTAATGATGCAGCTTTAATTTAGCTACCCTGCCCACTAACCCATGCTTTGGTTAGCAGTTCTAGTTATCTTCATAGGTACTTTTGAATAAAACATTTTATCTATGCATAGTTTCATCCTAGCTTTGTGTTATCCTTCCATAGCATGCAGCAAACTAATGCTTATTTAGCCTTTAACTCATTATCAGAATGATTATAGAGATGTGGTATCTGAACTAATTTTTTAATTTACGTTATTTATTGACCAAGTCTGCAACAGATGCTTTGTTGACCCCACCCCCCACCCCCACCCCGCCACTCCCCCTCCTCCCCGTGTCCCTTCAGGCACACTGCTTCATTCCACACAGCTAGAAGTGCAGGGGAATGAACACTTCTCAACTAAGGACCGGCCGGACAGGAAGTGGGGTATAAGTACCCTAGCTCCCTGGCTCCTTCTTTGGCACCACCTTGGGTCTTGTGTTCTACACCAGTGTATCTCACACTATTGTTGGACCAGTGTTTTATTTTCAGTCCATCATGAATTGTTACTTTAAAAAATGAATTATAAAAAAATGGCTGTCATCTTTATTCCAGAAGTGGCTCTGAGGGGGCACACGGCTTAGTGTGGTCTTTGTTAGCTTTCACCATGGCGTACCGTGGCCAAGGCCAAAAGGTGCAGAAGGTGATGGTGCAGCCCATAAATGTCATCTTCAGATACTTGCAAAATAGATATCGGATTCAGGTGTGGCTTTATGAGCAAGTGAATATGTGGATAGAAGGCTGTATCATTGCTTTTGATGAGTATATGAACCTTGTATTAGATGATGCAGAAGAGATTCATTCTAAAACAAAGTCAAGAAAACAATAGGTCGAATCATGCTAAAAGGAGATAATATTGCTCTGCTCCAAAGTGTCTCCTCCTACAAGTGATGTAATGAAGTGAGAAATTATTGAAAAGCAATATAGTTTTATAGGTGTCCTTTGTTGGGAGAATAGTTCTTACCTGTTTATTCATATTGGCTTACAATACCCTTATGTTACTACCAGATGACAATAAATGATGTTGAATTATTTTTATTAAAAAAAAATGAGTGTCATAAAAGTATCAAATTGTTATAAAAGTTTCTAAATATTTACTTTTACTTTTTATACATTCTTTATACTGAACCAGTCTCAAACAGTTCAAGGACTGGTACCATCACACAATACATTTTGAGGAAAGTTGAGCCCCTTTGTCCCAGGTTCCTTATAGGAGTAAGTGCAATCGCTCACAGTGATAACTGTATTCAAGCATATCCTCTATTGGATGCCTTTCCCTCCCTCATTTCCCCACTGCTTCCTGGTATTTCCTTGTCTCAGGGTCTTCTAGAATCTAGAGGAACCTAATGAAGACAAGTAATTAAGGAGCCTGGAAACTACTCTCTGGTGTCCTCCATGTGTGAGTTTGAATTTTATTCTTGTCTAGCAATAAGGCAACCCAGAGAATAAAAAGCACTACGGCTTTGGAGTCTGAAAAATATTAATTTTGAACCTGCTATTTATTAGCTGTAGAACCATGAGAAAATTATTTAACTCCTTGTGCCTCGGTTTATTTATTTATACAATGATGAAATTAAAATAACTACCAGAATCGAAAATTAAATACCAAGATACTTCCCTAGCTGGTTTGGCTCAGAGGCTGGAGCATCAGCCAGCGGAATGAAGGGTCCTGAGTTCGATTCCGGTCAAGGGCACGTACCTTGTTGCGGTTTCCTCAGCCCTGGTCTGGGTGTGGGCAAGAGGCAACCAATCGATGTGTCTCTCTCACATTGGTATTTCTCTCTGTCTCTCCCTCCCTCTCCCTTCCATTCTCTCTAAAAATCAATGGAAAAATATCCTCAGGTGAGGATTAACAAAAAATAAAGTAAAATACCAAAATAGCACTACACTTCTATTAGAATGGCCAAAATCCAAAACATTAATAGCACCAAATGCTGGTGAGGATAGGGAAAAACAGAAACTCTCATTCATTGCTAGTGGGAATGCAAAATTGTATAGTCACTTAGGAAGACTTTTGTGGTTTCTTATAACACTAAACACCTACCATATAATCTAGCAATTGCTCTCCTTGGTGTTTATCCAAAGGAGTTGAAAACTTATATCCACACAAAAATAGAATCTTTATTCATAATGGCCCAAACTTGGAAGCAACCAAGATGTCCTTTCATAGGTGAATGGATAATGAACTGTGGTACATCCAGACAATGGAATGTTATTGAGCACCAGAAAGAAATGAGTTAGCAAGCCATAAAAAACATGGAGGAACTTAAATGCATATTGCTAAAGAATATAACCCAATGTGAAAAAGGCTACATACTATATGCTTCTAATTACATGACATTCTGGAAAAGGCAAAAAATAAAGAGATAGTGAAGATGTTTGCCAGAGTAAGGGTGATAGGGATAAATCAATGGAGCACGGGATTTTTAGGGCAGTGAAACTACTCTATAATACTACAGTGGTGGATACATGTCATTGTACATTTGTCAAAACCCATAGAATGTACAACATCAAGACTGAATTCTACTGTAAACTATGGCCTTTGAGTGATAATGATGTGTCATTGTAGGTTCATTCATTGTTACAATACTGCTTTTATGGGATGTTGACAGTGGAGGAGGCTATATGTGTGGAGGAGTAGGAGGCATATGGGAACTCTGTATTCAATTTTGCTGTGAACCTAAAACTACTCTAAAAAAATAGTCTATGAAACACACACACACACACACACACACACACACACACACACTACCAAATAAGATTACTGTGAGAATCAAAGTGGAGGTCATTAATGCAACATTATAGAATTCACCATATTTTTTCTCAAAGGTTTTTGCAATGCTAATTTAGATTATTTAAATTTCATACTATAAACAACATTGAAAATGCATAAATGCTTATTTCAAGACTTCCATATTGTCATAAAAATAACATCAAATATCTTTGCTTTGCTTAATACATAACTTTCCTTTTCTGGTAACTATACAATTCTTTACCCACATTGATAGATGTAATGAGCATGTCTTTATATAGAAGCCTGTAATCCTAGCATTCTTTATGACAGTCTAGTTTTATGTCTCCTTAATCAAAGCAAATTGTTCCACAATCGTTTTGGCCTGAAGTCATCCTTGTACAGTTTGACATAAAAGCTTTACTAATTTGTACATGATAGAGATGACATACTTAATACTGCCTTTTATTTACAATTTAACATGTTTAAACTTATATGTAGTCAGGAGGTTAAGTAAATATATATGTTTTAAAAATTACTACTTTATTGCTCAGTACTCTGAATGTGTAGCAATTTTAAGGATCCACGACTAGTTCTCTCAACTAAAGGTATCAGCAGACATTATAAATACAACATTTCACTATTGACATAGTTCATCTGTTGAGCCATGGTGGTATGTGAACTGATTTGCACATCATTATACTGTTAAAGGTCTTTGCAAACTTCAATAACTCACAGTGAGTCCACGACTAACATTCCCCCTTTCAGCATTTTCTCATGATCACATTGCCTCTGGAGAATGAAGTCATTACAAATTTTAAATTATTCTAATCAAATTCACATGGTATTTTTATTCTTGGAATGCTTCCATTTTCAGCCCCCTTCTCCAATTTCAAAATTACTTCATGTTTCACCTTGAAGAATGTGACCTTTTAACATAGTGAGGAAATTCTTTGTAAATTAGGCATAGGATATTCAATTTAAACATCCATTTAATAAATATGTAAATATTTATTGAACATTTAGTATGTGTAAAGTGATAGGTCCTATGGAAAATACAAGCATCAGTAAAACTCAGTCTTTTCTCAAAGATATTATTTTACTTAGAAGTAATATGTAATAATAAAAATAGATGACTAAGTTGGTAAATAGAATAGGTCAGAAATATATTCTAATATCAGTAATAATTTAACATTACACAAAATATACTTTGAAATCAATGCAGAAGGAATAAATAATTTAATAAATGCTGTTGGGACAATAATTAGCTACTTATAAAACACATTAATTTAGAAAGTTACTTTATACCAAAATACATTCATGATGGATTAAAGGGCTTAGTATAAAACTATATATATATATATATATATATATATATATATATATATATAATTTTTATTATGAATAAAACTTTTTCTAAATGTGAAAATGATTTATCCAATTTTAAAGAACAGATGAACAAATTTGATGATTTCTTTAAAACTTAGATGTTTATAAATATTTCAGAAGCAGATAAAAGTACATACCATAGAACATGTTCCTACAACTAAATCAGAAGACGTCTCCAGTAGATAAATGGGCAAAGAGCATGAGCATATTATTCAAGGATAGGGACTACAAATACTTAAAACCTGGGAAAAGTTCAGCTTCACCAGTTTTTAAAAATATTAATTTTAAAACTGAGATGAAAGACTTACCCATTAAACAAACTTCAAAATGACAGTACTTAATGCTAACAATAGAGGGTTGAAATAGGAACTCATTTATAGTGGAATGGTAAATTGGCTTTCTTGCAATCAGTTGGCAACATGTAATAAAATCTTTAAAGTATTTGAAACACTAATCTTATGTCTGTGAAGTTTGTCCTCTAAAATTCATAAATATAAGAATATTTTTCTAAAGATGCACATTTCAGTATGATATGCAATCACAACAAAAATGTGATTGATATTTTCCATCAATTGAAACCTTTTCAAGTTAAAGTAGCAGAGATTATTAAGTTTTTCAGTGTGTCCTGGGTATTGTTGTTCTGTCTTAGGGATGTATGCTGCCTAACCCCTGTCTTTTATTAGTTAACAAATTACATTAAACCCACCTCAGTGAAAGGTCTCTAGTCTTTTCGTTTCTATTTAAATATTTTATTGCTCCCTTAGTTCAGACTTTTCCTTTTTTTTGAACATCCCCACATTGCCAGGAGAGTTTTCTTCTGAGACACAAATCTAACCTTATCCTTAAGAAAACAACAACAACTTTCTATGGCTTATCTTATGCTTTTCCCCCAATTTTTCTGCAGGCCCTTCGCATCAGCTATGAAACCATAAATATTCTGGCCCCACATCGTATTTCCAGTATTATTTTCCACGATATCTTCCTTCCCTCTGGCCAACTCCATCTACCCTGCTCTACAGAACAGAAACTGATTTTTTATAAGCACTTTCCCTTGCCTTTTCATTGGTTTTAACCTCATCTCAGCTGACATGATTTTCCCCCCTTTCCTTCTCATTTGTCCTGTTTGATTGTCAAGAATCATTTATAATGACATGCCTATAAAAGCTTTCTGAATTCCTCTAGGCATAACTACAGTGTCTTTCACTTTTAAGTAATCTGAAATAAAAAGGTTTTTATTAAAAAAAGTAATGTGTTTTTAGTATAGTAAATTTGAAGCATATATTGCAATTTTCACGGTGAATTTTATTTGTTTTTTTAAAAAATGGAGTTTTGCTCATACTGGATTCACCATTTTTGTTGTTAATATGCAGGTTGGGGCAAACATAAGTTTATAGTTGTGAGGATGCTAAACACAGAGTTTATTCTTGTGTTATTCTTTATTAATTTTTATATTATTTGCCATATGAGCAACTGTAAATCTACTTTGCCCCACCCTATAAATTCTTCATGAGTATCTTTCTATGTTATGTGTTACTATGTACATATATATATATATATGTACATAGTAACACATAACATAGAAATTCGTGCACTGGGCGGGGCGGGGGGGGTGTGTTCCTTAGCCTGGCCTGCACCCTCTCACAGTCCAGGTCTCTTGCAGTCCAGGACCCCTTGCTCCTTACTGTCCACCTGCAGCCGAGGCAGGAGAGGCTCCTGCCACTGCCGCTGTGCTCGCCAGCCGTGAGCCTAGCTTCTGGCTGAGTGGCGCTTCCCCTGTGGGAGTGCACTGACCACCAGGGGGCAGCTCCTGCATTGAGCATCTGCCCCCTGGTGGTCAGTGCGCATCATAGCCATCAGTCATTCTGCTGTTCAGGCAATTTGCATATTAGGATTTTATTATATAGAATTCCCTAGTGAGTTTGTTGTTCAGTTTACTTAAATACTCTCCTTGATTCCCCCAGATTTTTGGCATACTCAAACTGGGTAGTTTGAGGAGAATTAATGAAAGGACTATTTATAAACATGGGGACAGGGTGTTAGTGATAGTGCTGTATCCTTGAGTTAGAAACTGTGGGGACACATATCACTATTCTTAAGCTTCAGAGGGCAAAAGAAGGGTGCATTACTGAACCCCAGAGATATTGAGTATGTGAATACCACCTGACAAGCTATGTCACCTTTGTTCAAGAGTCATAGCAAGTCTGAAATAAACTACCCCTACTTCATTCTTTTCCACTTTTCTGATTTCCTATCAAGACACACTATTGGTCAAACCCATCCCTAAGCCAAAGGTTTGGAGCCATAGATGGAGTCCAGAAAGGCTGGACCCTCAGGCATAAAGAAAGCAAAAAGTAGTGGGAAGCTGGTGCACAAATGAAATATACCTGGCATGTTCTTAGAATGGGAGGTGGGTTGTTTATCATTTTGACCATTTTATTAATAAACATATTTGCATGAATCTGTATTTAAATTCTCAAATAAGATTCTTTTCTTAGGAAAATTATTTCCAAGGTGAAGTTACTGGATCTAAAATTTGATACATTCTCAAAGTTTCTGATACTTCCTGCCAAACATCTGCTTTTCTGAAGGACCCAGAAAAATAAGGATTACATGAGTTGATGAGAAACTTTGCCTAGTTAATATCCCAACCCTGGGGAATGATTATGTCCTTGGAAATGGCATCTTAAGGCAGGCTCCAAGCAGGAAATGGAAAGTAGTTAAGCTGGGTAATTAAAACCTACAGGGAAGGTTTTATGGAAGGGAACAAGTGATAGGGCATATAACAGTGGGAAGTCGTTAGTACCCTTGGCTTGAAGGGTCAAGAAGAGGTAGTATTGCAAGGAATACACGCACAGAGGGCACAGGGAGCTGTATAAAGACAGTCTCCAGATAGGAAGAAGGGAGCCAATCAGAGAACCAGCAGGGAAAGAGCAGGGCAAATAAAAGTCCCGATGTCAATTTCTTTCTATCCTCCAATCTCCTGCCAATGCCCCAGATGGGCCAATCCCAATGGAAGCCAGAGATAAGTAACCTCTTAATGCAATCTATACTGGCCAGCATCTTGGGACACAAAGGGAAAAGAAGGGAAATGGATGGTCAAATGGAAAATATCTAACACATTTCACTTTAAGAGCGATCAGATGGCCAACAGAAAGGAGATTGGCTTTATTAACATAGCTATAATCTATCTTGGCAAGATTAGCAAAAGAAACATAATAATTGCTCCATAGTCTAAATTTCACACCTTTACCTAATAAGTGTTTGTATTGCGGCTAGCTAAGGTCCCTTGCCTCTCAAATATACCCTCGTTTGCTTGGATTCCTGGATCTTCTTGACTAACTGTTAAACACAAGTTTCAGAATGAAATATGAACATATAAGTTTTGTTAGGCCCTCTTGCTATCTGCCTATAGAGTCGTTTAAAAATTGTTGGCTTTGCCCTAGCTCAGTAGTTCTCAACCTTCTGACCCTTTAAATATAGATCCTCATGTTGTGACCCAACCATAAAATTATTTTTGTTGCTTTCTCATAACTGTAATGTTGCTACTGTTATGAATCGTAATGTAAATATCTGATATGAAGGATGGTCTTAGGTGACCCCTGTGAAAGGGTCATTCGACCGCCAAAGGGGTCACCACTCACAGGTTGAGAACCACTGACCTAGCTGGTTTGGCTCCTTGTATAGAGCATCGGCCTGTGGACTGAAGGATTCTATTCTGGTCAAGGGCATGTACCTTGGTTACAGGCTCAATCCTGGTCCTGTTCTGGGTGTGTGCAGGAGGCAACCAATTGCTGTGCCTCTCTCACCTTGATGTTTCTCTCTCTGTCTCTCCCCTTCCCTTCTACCTTCTCTAAAAATCAATGGAAAAATATCCTTGGGTGAGGATTAACAACAAAAAATTGATAAATTTTTGCCAATTTTATTAAAATCAGAAGATTTCGCCGAAACCGGTTTGGCTCAGTGGATAGAGCGTCGACCTGACCTGCGGACTGAGGGGTCCCAGGTTCGATTCCGGTCGGGGGCATGTACCTGGGCTGCGGGCACATCCCCAGTGGGAGATGTGCAGGAGGCGGCTGATCGATGTTTCTCTCCCATCAATGTTTCTAACTCTCTATCTCTCTCCCTTCCTCTCTGTAAAAAATCAATAAAATATATTTTTAAAAAAATCAAAAAAAAATCAGAAGATTTCATAAAAGCCTACTTTCAGCTTCTCTTGAACAATCACAATATTGGGCACAGCTGGGCCTACATTTCTGCAAGGCAGTGAGCTGAACTGCATGACTGCTGCCACATAAGAAGGAACCCAGGCTCTCTAGTTGCCAGACTCCTCACTACACTCAGCTGTATATTTGAGTTAGTTTCCATTTCTCACTGCGAGTATGATACTGCTTTTCATATACCTAGGCTGGGTTTGTTCATACATGTTAAGTGCCTGAGTCCTGTAGACATTTAAGTTTGCAATCCCTTCCTAGTGTCTGTCTCATGGACAAAGCGGGCAGTGCCCAGCTTCTGATTCTTTTTGTTTCCTTGGGATCAACTGAACATTCAGTATCAAAGCAGTAGGAACTACATGATGGCTAATGGGATGTGACGTAAGTAAAATTACACAATCTTTTCACAATTCCTTTCACCAAATAGTAATTACCTGTTACCTGCTCTGTATCCTGTCCCTCACCAGTTTCCATCGTGCCTCTTCTCTCTGTGTTTTATTTTGCCTGCAGAAAGTCATTTAGAATTATAATAGCTTCTCTCTCATTAAAACAATTTATTTTTATGAAACTAGACCCTGACCAGTTGTTTTGTGGTCCTGGAACTATATAATAATATGACTGTCTATTGTGGACACCAAAGACAGTATAAGATACTAATCAACATCAGATTTTATCATTTACATGCAATGTTCAGTACGACATTAGGCCTAGCATCTTTAAGGAACTACTTATAAATACTCTTTAAAGTATTAACGGATAAAATATAACACAACTTTGAAGAACTTAAAGGTTCATCTTAAATATTTTACCCAGATATCAAACAATATATTTCTAGAGAAGGGAGAGAAGTACCGACTTGAGGCAATTGCCTCACGACCTTCCTTTAGAAAGATACCAGAGCTTGAAAAATCATCCCCAAACCTTATTCTTTCTTGTTCTTTCCTTATATATTTAGGCCCTAAGACAGAAGATTCAAGGAACTATTAGAAGACACATACATTTATGTTTTGAGGAAGGTGAAAATCAATTTTGCTAACCAGGAACCTAATCCTTAAGACTAAGCAGGATTCATAGAGATACAGTTCTTGGTAGGACATGCTAGGTTAAGTGAGTGATTAAAGCTTTTGAAGTAGAACACAAGAAGTTTCCTCAAGGCTTGGTCATCCTGAGACCTAAAAGAACCCAGAGCAGCCGAGTAAACAGGGCCAGAAAGATTAAGCTTGGTACCAGAATGGAGGAGTGGCAGATGTGGGGGCAAAGTGCAGGTGTGAGTGAAGTTTAAAGACTAAAATTAAGAGTTTTAATAAGATGAATAAACCTGAGGATCTAAAGTATAAAATGGTGACTATAGTTGATAACACTACACCGCAGGGTAGGGACAAAATAATAACTATCCCTACTTCATTCTTTTCCACTTTTCTGATTTCCTATCAAGACATACTATTGGCCAAGCCCATCCCTAAGCCAGAGCTATCCAGAAGGTAGTTGGAAGTATAGGTTTGAAGCCTAAAAGAGAAGTAGAAATCTTACTATAGACTTGGGAGTAAAGATATACAAGATGGTATATAAAGTCATGGGCATTCCATGGGGGAATATTTAGGAGGATTATAGAATACGGCCAAGAAGAGTAATCTGGGAAACATAACAATTGAAGGCTGAGACAGGATGGTCAGTGGAGCAAGAGAACAATGATACTAGAGGCTCACTAATAGAAACCAAAAGAGCTGAAACATTTCTAAAAGGAAGGAGTTATTCAGAAGGTCAAATGCTACAGAAAAATCAACTGCCATAAGGCTTCCAGTTCTCGACTGGATTGGAATCCAGGAGGTCACTCTTATTGCTAGGGAGAGCATCCTCCATGAAGGACATGGTAGAAGCTTGAGAACAGTACATGAACAAGTTGGAGACGTCTTTTGAGATGCTGAAAAGAAGTCAGAGAATCATCTGAGAGGGTGAGACTTCTACATTTCTCAAAAAATCTTTACGTACACTGTCATATTTCATATTTTAGAAGATAAGTATGGAAACTTTTG